TGAAATGCCTTTACTGGATTCTATTCTCCAGTGAGTACAGGGACTTAGTCTTTATTCCTCATGCTAGCTTTCCTCTTGTGATCATCTCCTAACTGATTTCTCTGGGATCTGTCTTCACCTGGTACTCTACCTCCTACCCTGGACAGGAGGCCAGGTGGTTCATAGAAAGGTTTAGGTAGAGTTAGGGTGGTTATGTTTTGGAGTTACATAAAACGTTCATAGACGGGGTAGGAAATTGGTCTGTTTATCTCTAAGGTAGTGCTGCCCAGCAAGGACCATGGTCTGGCATCCGAGTCAATGCCCCCGCCAAAATGAACAAAACCTCCTAAAGTTCATTTCCATCAAGTTGATTTTGACGCATGGCGATGCTACAGCACACGGTTGCTACTGCCTCCCCCACCCCCGCACCCCCCCTAATACCCCTGACTATAACACTTTACTTGAGTTTAAAAAAAACAAACCTCAAATTTGTCCCTCAGAGCACCTGGTGGTTTCAAACCACAGACTTTGCAGTTAGCAGCCTGATGTGTAAACACTAAAATAGGTATGTTTATTCAAAGCAATCTCCCTTTGTTCCATCCCAAATTCACTAACTGAAAATCTCCTACATCTAGGCCCTTGAACTGGATTTGTGCAGACTCTCCAAATGATTGTGATACGTGCCCATTTTTGGAAACTCTATCATGTTGTCCAATTATAAGATTCAGTGATTATAATACTCTAATCAGAATCCAATTTGCTATGCCAATAAAATAGCTATAGAAGTATTTTGTGCAATGGAAACATCATTAAAGTGAGCATAAAAGCATGTGAGTGGTCTATGATAAATACAGCATACTTATTTGAATGTATAAATTTGTGGAAGTTGCAAAAATAGTCATATCACATTAGATTCACTACCCCCCAAACATATACAAGTATGTCTAAATGATCTACTTTCACTTCACACATGATGTTAATGATTGCATAGAAAGAGTTCAAGAACACATATGACATAAAATATAGGGGTAAGTGCTACTTTCACAACCAATTAGAAGTTACAGGAATAATGACAGTTCAATAAGAGATATTAAGAATTAGCAGTTCCACGAGGCAAGGAAAGTAAAATCAAATCCACTAAGGTACTAGATACATAAGCAAAACATACACACACACAATTTTCAGTTGAATCTCTTTTTGCTAATGAGAAGATTCCTGGCTTCAGAGACAATGTGGCATGCTTGTTATACCAATAATTGCTTTACAGTGGCTCTTCGGAGCACATGAACTGTCCGTGTAAGCAAAGGGGCCCTGGAGAAGACCATAAACACGCCCACTGCTATCAGTTGAATTCCAACTTTGAGCCTCCTGTGGAGAGTTTCTGAAGTTGTAAATCACTTCAGGAGCAGACAGCCACATCTTTCTCCTGAGGAGGGACTGGTGATTTGAACTACCAACCTTGCAGTTTGCACTCCAGCATCATCAGCGTTCCATTAGTAGCTAATGGATGCCATCCCATGCTGCATTATAAACAATGTACTATAAAAGAGTAAGAATAAGTATGATTAATTCTCCCTGTTGTAAGACCATTGCAAAAAGGAGCACATTTGTAAATATGGCCCTCAGCCCTTAAGTGTTAGAGCAGTGGTTCTCAACCTTCCTAATGCCACGACCCTTTAATACAGGTCCTCATGTTGTGGTGAGCCCCAACCATAAAATTATTTTTGTTGCTACTTCATAACTGTCATTTTGCTACTGTTATGAATTGGGTGACCCCTGTGAAAGGGTTGTTCGACCCCCAAAGGGGTCGTGACCCACATGTTGAGAACCGCTGTTTTAGAGGCTGACTCCCAATAGATTATAGGAGCTGATTGCTACAAGTACAAATGCAATAAGATACGATTCCTCAAAATGAATTAAATTATTTAAAATTATTGTTTCTCTTTTGTCTTGGCATTCCAAATATGTATCAATGGAAATGTATGCACTACAGGAACTTCATTTCAAAACGGAGAGCACAGCTTTTTAGAATAAGAATGCACAGTTGCCTAGAACCAAGCATGTAAGCTGCGCTGAGGAGCCCATGCTAAGTCACAAGTGCTCTCATCCACAAAGAATGTAATCGTATGGAACTAATAATACCAGGACACAGAAGAACACACAAACAAAAGCTTCCAGGGCAGAAGGAGGGGGATGCAAAGAGCATGCGGCTTCCCTGTCTACAGATCGCTGTCCTGGGCTAATTTGAAATAAACCATACCTTTTCCTCTACACTTATTTTGTAGCCTCTCCTGCTTCCCAGTGGCCTCTGGAAATTCAAAGCCACTGCTATAATAACTTTGATCATGCTATATGGAAAATGAATAGGAAAATTGAATTTATATCTCAATAATCCTTTGGTTAACTGCATCTAACACAATAATAATAATAGGAATGTAAGCAGTGTAGCTGTGGCTATAGATAGTGCAGAGCTTATCAGTGGTATGATGGTTATCAAGGTCCCTGACGCCTTCGGTTTTTCTCTTCTACACCCAGCCTTTGTTTTCTGTTCCTAATGTAAAGTTATAAGCCAAGATAACTGCTAGAGCGTTCGCCACCATGATTAGATTCTAGGCAGTGGCAGAAAAGGCAGAAGAGGAGGAGGTGGAAGAGAATGAAGGGAGGAAGGGAGGATCCTTTGCTGACATCTCATTGGCTATTATCTAGTCATCTGGCACACTTGGCTACAGAGCTGTCCAGTCTTGTAGCTGCCCCTTTTACTAACACAAATAGCATTGAAGATCTGTTCTTGACAATGAGGCAAAACTGGATATTTGTAGCTACTTAGCCGTCTTTGCCGCATCTCTTAAATGTGCAGTGCTCTAGATTCCTTGCCTCCTTTCCTACGCATTCAATAAGACATTCTACTTTAGTAGGAATGTTCCTTCAAGGACAGGCACTCTCAATTTGTGCTGCACATTCAAATTATTTAAAATGTCTTTCAAAAATCCTATGGCCAAGCTACATCCCAGGAATGTAATGAAATCAGGAACTGTTTCCATGCGCCCCTGGCCACAGTAATGGTCATAATATCTCTAGGTCATTGTAGTGTCCAGCCAAGTGTGAAACCACTGGCTAAAGGCATTTTAAAAGAAGGCAGGTAACTTAAATGTAGCTTAATGTTTTCATTTTCCTTTTGCTACATGCTCAAGTGATTTATAAACTGAGAGCCACGAGTAGAGAATAATTAGGGAGTGGTAGATTTCCCTGGCTGACACAGTGTTTGATTCTGCGGTCACTTTTCCTATAAAACTACCTGATCACTTTCCCCTTCCCCAAACCGTATCTTATCTTCTATCGCGTCTGAGACATAAGAGTCTCTGAACCTTCCAGTTTTTCTTTATAGTAGATCCAGGGCAGCATGTTTGATCATCCTTGGTACATTTACCTCTCAAAGTGCCCACAATGACTCAAAGACCCTGTAAAAGAATCAGTCAAAGAGCATTGCTGAGTGTCCAGTCACTACATGCATAGGTCTGTACCAAACAAAACATGTCTTAACATGTTTTTCAGTCTGTGAGTGGTTGTAAACAGTTTTCTTGGTAATATATGTGTCTTAGTCTCATTGGGGTGACTTAAAACATGCACGCGCATGCGCACACACACACACACACACACAATCCTCAATCAAAACCGTGACTTCCAAGGAGATGTGCTAGGTCAGTGTAATTCAAAGGAGAAAGGTCAGCATATTTTAGTACATTTCTTGATGTGTACAGGATAATCATAGAGGCTTATTATGAAAACATGTTAAGAAAATTGAAAACTGCAATGCTGAGAAAAGGGCATTACGCCAAGATCTTTTCCCCCATGCTAACAATACACTTGTTCAGTCTTCTTGGGTAGCTATGGCTGTCTGTGATAATTTCATTGGAAAACACATTTTACAGCCCTGATATTGCTGCTTCAGACTTTGCTTTGTTCTGAAACTCAACAACAACAATTGATAAGAAAATTTGAGGGCTGTGAGGATGGCACCACTATTGTTTTGACCTGTTGGAAAGTATAGACCACAGGATTCTAAGGGGGAGGGTTCAAGAAATGGAAGCGTTGCCTTCCAAAGTGCGTAGATCAAGATGGAGACCACGCTGAGAATTGATATCCACCCATTTTAACATTCTTGTTTATTTAATAAGGTTTCTAAGATGTTGAGGCAGCACTCTTTAACTTGCATTCCTATTTTCCCTAAATAATTCACAATCATTTCATTGTTTCATGCTACTCCACCCCGTCATCTAACCACACCTCAGGAACTGACCCACACGGTTTTCTCTGCATCCAGTTTTACCTTTATTTCATCCAAATAACCAGGAAGCCATGAAAGGGGGAATTTTTTTTAAACACATACAAATCCGTTAATGTAATTTCTCTAGTTGGCATACAGAAATTTCAAGAACTTTCTATTGATTTAAAGCTAAACATTACACCTCTTATCTAGGACTCCTTGCCTGGCAAGATTCACTTCTGCCTACTGCCCAGCCCAGTCTGGTACCTCTCATCACACTTTGCACATGGCTTCTTTTCCTATGTGTTTCCAATATCCCTCGACCCCCCTCCTCACAGTTAACCTCTCTTTTCCATACTTGCTGAATCCTCAAACTCAATCAAATTAATATCTTTATTTTACTCCTTCCTGTTTAAGGAGGTCTATCCTCTGCCCAATACTGCATCAGGGCTCACGCTATGCTTCAGGATGCTACCATCATTTGAAGCAATTATATAAAGCCTCTTTCCTCCAGTTATTTTTTTAAGAAGACCTAGAACATCTCCATCATTTTGCTCTTGGATCCTAGGCCAGCTCCTGTCACATGTGTGTAACAATATAAATATTTAGCAATGAAAGTGTAACATGGGATACTGAGATTAGAAAGTGAGATGGGAGATAGCCTCTAATGGTCATACGCATTTGCTTGAAACTTAGACCATGTGATCCGAGTGAACCTCTCATCTTTCTTTTTCAATATGTGTCTGTGTGTCTGCAGGTTGTGATTTGATCCCTGTACAATATCTTCGCTGGGGTGATCCGGAGCCCATTGCTGCCGTGGTGTTTGCCTGCCTGGGCCTGCTGGCTACCCTGTTCGTCACCGCCGTCTTCATCATTTACCGTGATACACCAGTGGTCAAATCGTCCAGCAGGGAACTCTGCTACATCATCCTGGCCGGCATCTGCCTGGGTTACCTCTGTACCTTCTGCCTCATTGCAAAGCCCAAGCAGATTTATTGCTATCTTCAGAGAATTGGCATCGGTCTCTCCCCAGCCATGAGCTACTCGGCCCTTGTAACCAAGACCAACCGGATTGCGAGGATCTTGGCTGGCAGCAAGAAGAAGATCTGCACCAAAAAGCCCCGATTCATGAGTGCCTGTGCCCAACTCGTGATTGCTTTCATTCTCATATGCATCCAGTTAGGCATCATCGTCGCCCTCTTTATCATGGAGCCCCCTGACATAATGCACGACTACCCAAGTATCCGGGAAGTCTACCTGATTTGTAACACCACCAACCTCGGAGTGGTCACGCCTCTTGGATACAACGGATTGTTGATTTTAAGCTGCACCTTCTATGCGTTCAAGACCAGAAACGTCCCAGCTAACTTCAACGAGGCCAAGTACATCGCCTTCACTATGTACACCACTTGCATCATCTGGCTGGCCTTTGTGCCAATCTACTTTGGCAGCAACTACAAAATCATCACCATGTGTTTTTCAGTCAGTCTAAGTGCCACAGTGGCTCTGGGCTGCATGTTTGTGCCGAAGGTATACATCATCCTGGCCAAACCGGAGAGGAACGTGCGCAGCGCCTTCACCACCTCGACCGTGGTGCGCATGCACGTGGGGGATGGCAAGTCCTCCTCGGCCGCCAGCCGGTCCAGCAGCCTTGTCAACCTCTGGAAGAGGAGAGGCTCCTCTGGGGAAACCCTAAGGTAAACACCCACTGTATGGGCTTTGGCGCCTCCAACGGAAACAGGGCTTTCCCTGCCTGTCTTAAAGGGAGATGATTGAGTTAATATGGGAGGCAGGGTGCCAGCGAAACAGCTCTGGCCTCCTCATTCAGTCTTCTCTGTGGGGTCAGCGGGATGTGGGCCCAATTGTAAAGGGCAAGCAAGGAAGAATGCAAATGTAGGTCTTTGATAAAGGCCACAGTTACAGAGAAAGCGAGGTCCTGATAGTGGGACACTTGTGGAGCCCTGGTGACATGGTGGTTATGAGTTGGGCTGCGATCTGACAGGTCAGCAGTTCAAAGCCATCAGAGCTCCGTAGGAGAAAGACAGGGCTTTTGATGCCCATGATCAGGTAGGTCTCAGAAACTAACAAGGCAGTTCTACCCTGCCCTATTAATGACTAAGCCAAGGCTAGGTTCTTAAGGGGCAGAGAAGCCGAGAGTGAGACGTGAAAAGCCAACACGCTCGTACATCTGACCACACTTGCTTCTGCCTGAATCTTATTCAAGTCCAGACCAGTCCTTGATTTCCCATCTCATAGAGGCAAGAGGACTTAAAATGTATACCACAGCTCTTACCGAACAATTTGAACTCTGAGAAATCGCTCAGTAGCTGATAAAGGCAAAATAAGGAATGGATTTTACATAAGCTCTTCCTAAGCAAAGTCTTCCACTTTTCCCTTGACCTTAGACTCATCATACACTCAAGTTAAAGACCATAGTTAATACTTATGACCCAAAAGTCACCTGAGAATGATCTGCAGCCATCAGCCAGTGATCCCCCACCCCCACCATGTGAAGGCCACCTTATGTGATAAATGATGCTAAAGCTGTTCAAGGGAAATGGTATCATCTTATCAGTGGGAACAGAGCCTGAGCTATTTAGAAAGCTACATAGATAGATCACTGAATGGCAATAAGAATTGCCCCTATTTATGGAGTGCCTACCCCCAAACTATGTAGGATATCAAGTCTTTCCCTGCAGGGGGATTGGGCCTATTGTTTAAATGGTAGGTACATAAATGGAACAGATTTTTTTTTTCCAAATTGAAGCGTTATCTAAATAATGCTGTTTTAATTATTCACCTCTTAGCCTTTCCATTATTCTTCTCTTGGCCTGCATGAAAAATGGCATGTTTCTAATTCTTAAAATATAAGTTATGATGATCGTGTTGCTAATGTGTCTGCTGAGATTTAAAATTGACTCCTGGGATACTTGGGGCATAGTTGTGGAGTCTAATTCATTTGCAATACTAATGTATGTCTTAGCTTCTGTTTAGTTTCTTGTTGTTCTATAAGTCTCATCTTTTTCTGTGTACTCACATATTGTCCAAGACATTCAACTAAACTATACGTTTTGGAGGAAGGGCTCATCTTTTATCTCTCCAATAAATGCTGGCAATGCCGTACTTTGTACAGAGAAGACCTGCCATGTATCTAACCCACTGGCATATTTTCCATCTGTCTTGGCTCTTCTCTGAAGCTTTCTTGTTCTGAAACTTCTGCAATATCAGCCTTTCATTTCAGTTAAGAATATTGATTTTTTTTCCCCAAACATTTATTTTACCAACCAAAACTTCTCTTCAAGCAAAATCTTCCAGGGAAGCCTAAGATATAAAACAGATAGAATGATGGAGCGAGGGGATCATAATTCTTTGCCTAAGAACTCAAACATTGACTAGGGTGGCACTTTAAAGAGTCTCTGCGGTGCTCCTGAAGAGCACTGGCTTCGTAGCAAGCTCCCCCTGTGAATCGTGCCACTTCAATTTCCTATCTCTGAATCACAGAAACTTCATCTACCAATTGGAGATAGTTCCTACTACATAGGCTTGTGAAAATGAAGTAGATAGTGGGTATAAAGAATAAACACATAGAAAAAGCTTTATTGAAGGCTGTGCATAGCACTACACAACACTGAGAATCACTAAACTAGCTGTTGAAACTTGCGTAAATTACTTAAACTCTCTATGCCTTATTTTCATCCTCTGAAAAATGGAGATCTTGAAATAGATACCTTAAAAGGTGGTTGTAAGGATTAAATGACTTAACCCTTGTAAAGTATCTGCCAAACAGTAAGCACTTCTTGCTGTTACTATTAACCAAACTATTACCAATCCTCGGTCATACTTGAAAGATTTGGCAGGGATGCAGCTAGAAAGTACTTAATAACAAAGAGAGCATCCTAAAAGACAGTGTGGATCTACAACGAGATTTATTACACAACAGCAGATCACAAAGGATTACTACAATATCCTATAATATTTATTAGACAAAAATTCCAAAATATGAAGCTATTGTTTCTTGACATATCCTCCATCTAGGTTTATACTTCTGAAAGAAGTGTCTCCATCTCTCTCATCATTCCCCCAAGAAGCCCTGGTGTCACTGCTGGGGAAGCACTGGACTACCAACTGCAAGGTTGGTGGTTCTAATATCCCAGCTCCTGTAAAGATGCACAGCATTGGCATCCCTACATAGGCTTGCTATGAGTTGGAATCAACTTCATGTCAGTGAGTTTTGATTTGGGGAAAGCCTTCTCCAATAATTTCTGCACTCTTCAATTTATAATCATCAAAACAGCAGTTTTGACCTCCTGGGGTCTCATTTGTTTTCTTTGTTAATGTCCTATGAATTTGGAGAACCCAAGCCAGAAAGGCCAAGAGGAGAGCAACACAGTGGATAGGGTAAGGTTTCCCAAGGAAACTGTCAAAGGACTTCCCTTGCTCTACTCAATGAATGAGCAGGTGCATTGTCATGATGGGAATTTCTTTTTCCCTCAGCATAAATTTCCTGGCGTTTTCCTCAGCAACGCAGTTTTACATATTCTCAAAATGTCTTCATAATAAGGCCCTGTGATGATAGTCTTTCCTTTGTGAAAATCTATTAAGATAAAATTATTCCAAAAGCAATCACCATAATTTCGAGTTGACCCTATGTCTTGAGTTTAACTGACCCAGAAGATATCCTCAGAAGTTGTTAGTTTTGATTTAACCCTTTTTTGAAGGTACCCTAAGGATAAAACACACTAGAGTATCTGCCAATAACTAAGCACTGAGAGACTCACAGCCGGTGTATCACCGAGAGAACTTGACAGTGATCCACTTATCACAGATGCATACTAAATGCATTTTGTTTGAAATAAGCCTGTGCATGTGTGAATGGAAACCTAGTAGTTGCAATTTTTTACTTACTCTGGTATATTAGCAAATTTGGTCTAAGTGCCTGTATCAACAAGTGCCAGTATTGCTTTTTGCCATCCACCAGGTTAATGAAACTAGAACCCACCTTTGATATGGAGGCCAAAGGACAGAGAACCTTGTGATTCCTTTTCAAGAGGGAAATCCGTCACAAATTTGGTCCCCTTCCAAATCCATTATCTTTATGGACTAATGCCCTTAATTTCAGAAGAAAATAAGATCCCAGCTAAAGTTGGTTTTTTTTTCTCTGCACCCGCCATGAGTCCCCAAACGGTTTCATCTATGTGACCCTAAAATTAAGTTGTTTAGTGTTGATATAGTATTTAATCATATTACAACTTATGTATGATTTCATCTCCCTTATTGTTTATAATTTTCTAAATTATGGAAATATTTCTAAAATATGGAAATATATAACACATTATCCAATCATGCTGGGGTTCAAATTGTGAAGAATGATGTAAACTGGGTCCTCCTAGTCTTTAAACATTTGTGCTAGTCTGGGTACTTTACAGAAAAAAATCCACAGAAACTCATTGAGAACCCTGTCTAACACACTCATGTATGAGAGAGTTTTATGTAAAGGTTAAGTGCACCTAAGAAAACATCCCAACCCACTGCTGCCCAAGCCCGCAAATCAAACATTAACTCATATGTCTGATACCAATCCACAATGTCCTCCTCCACCTCACAAAACACACGCAATGACATCGACTGCAGGAGGAAAGCCGAATCAGTGAATGTGTAAGCGCTGGCAGGGTTCTCAACACGGCTGTTCTAGCACCCAGGGCTGCACAGGGGTAGGTCCATGCGGCTTCTCCTTGGGGTTGTCTTGCAGGAAGTGAGCCTTGCCAGCTGAAGCAGGGAACTGGCTAAGGCAGCTGCACCCTGGTCCAACCATCAGAAAACAAGAGACCCAAGAACTAGAAAGGTGAGGCTCACGGAGCCATTTATCTCTCCACCCTTCAATTAACCCCATATGTGTTTATTGGCCAGGTTGGTACAATAAACTAACTACCCCAAGAGTCATTGCAATTTCTGCCACAAACTGTGCTCCTGAGGCTTGAACTCTAGAAAATACCATTGAGCATATAGGAAATAACTCAATAAATACTAGAAAGATAAAGCCAGACTTGGAGGGGTGTAATCTATTTGTTTGGGTTTCATTCCCCCGCCCCCCGCTATTATAAGCTTTATGGAGGTAGATTATTCCCGGGGTTGCACAGAGACTCAGTGAGGCCAGCACCAATATCTCTTCTGTAGTCATTTCGCTGATGGATGTAGCAAGCTCGCGTTCATGACTTTATGCACCCAATCCTATTACCAGAGGAAACAATAGCTTTCTCAGCCGCTTACTTAGCAAAATTTCCTTTCCATCCCATTAGCCACAACTCTGTCATGTGGTAATGGCTTTTTTACATTTAGAATGTAAAAAAGCTTCTTTACATTTAGAATTCATTAGCCTCAATATGGCAGTGGGCTGGTTTGGATTAAATAGAGATTGAAATGGAGGAAAGAGTGTGTCCAATGGGTGTTTGGTTAAGTCCAGGAATGATGTTTACCATGGAAAGTGCTAATAACTAGTAGCAACAGCAACAGTTTTAACAGCAATAGTAGACTACGTAGTCAAAGGGGAATACTATGGACCAGAAAAGTGAGGATGAGGAATAGAAGCACAAAATAGAAAATTGGAAAACATTTGGAAATCAATCCAAAAATTCAAAATTCCCCAATACTTACAAAATATTGTGAGTAAAACCATCGCAATCTCCACCATTCTCATTTT